AAAATAGATAATTATAGTATGGTCACACTAATATTGAGGACGAAAATATTCAAAGGAAAGAAGGTGGTGATGGAAACTAGGTCTATAGTGATGGTGATCGAGGGAAATGAAGAATAATAAGGGAGAAAGATAGAGAGATATTAAAGAGATATTGATTTCGGCATAAATTTATGCCGAAATAGAGAGAGGGTGACCGACCGCGGTGGATGCCAAGACCTTGCTGACTAATATGGCGGTGGCGAAGCGATGGCGAGAGCCGGCGACGACGAGGTCGGAAGATCTTTTGAGAAGGGGGGACAGGGTCGGGCGAGGATGAGAATGCTCTCGAGGGAAAAAGATCGCGATTATCCCGTGGATTGGTCTAACCCTAAGGCGAAGTCACCCATTAGACTCTGCGTAAGCGACTCTGACAACCTCGATTGGGCGATCATAATGACCAATTTCTTTGCACCGTGCTTATAATTGGAGGAGGGGCCAAATAGAAATCGCTTCCCTCCGCTGAGCTTATGGAAGCCGATGAGTTCCTTGCCCAGAACCTTTTCGAGTGAGATAAGACCGCGTATTGCGCCGGAAATTCCCGGACGATCACCGGTCGAGGGAGCCACTGATACAATTTTGTCAGTATGGCCTTTACATGTTTTGGGCGTCCTAGTAACGAGGCTCACCATAAGGATCTGCTGACATTGCCCTGGCTGAAGTCCGTAATATAGTAGGGAGGTCCTTCTCGTCCGGGGCTACACTGCTATGTCGAGATGCTCCAGTCGTCTTCTTGGTCTTCTTGGTGTTGGTAGTCTTTCGATTCTTTTGCCGGTTCTTTGTCTCGGAGTCGCTCGCATCGGAGTCGCTTGCATCAGCATCAGAGTCACTTAAATCCTCATCATCAGATCGCGCTGCGTCTATTGAAGGGAATTAACTCGAATGAACGTAGTAGATGATTCTCGGCGTCTATACCATACCTGGTAGTTCCTCGAGGGCAACGGTTCGCGGTCTCTCCGCCGGGACGTCTGGTTGTGGTTTGCTGGAGTTGGGCTTTCGGAGCCTTATCTTTGACAATTCATCCCCCACTCCAGCAATGAACGCTAATTTCCGAGTAGAAGTAGCAGCTTTTTGGGTATCTTCGGTGGCGATATTCTATTTCTTTATCCTGCTCGGTGCCATGGTGGTCAGCTTGCAGCGTTTAGAAGATTGATGAATAATTTTGGGCTTGGAGCGCTTGTGACCGACTTTATTAAGTTCGAGATCTTCCTTCTGTTGAACCGAAGCTAGGAGACCAAGACGCATTAGATCTAAATATAGATGGTCTTGCAATATGCTATAACCTTTCTCCGTGTTTCTCCGTGAACGGTTGTCGTGATTAGACCGCGCCCTGCGTGATAATAGCATACCGGGACAGGACTAAAATAAGTGACACTATGAATGCTATCCATATCTTCTTCACGTCTTTTGCTTGGTTCAAACTCTAAGTGACAGAGATTATCCTCGGCTCCCGTGTTCTATATTTATCCGTAGTGTGTTTAGAACCGCTCGCAGTAGTTTTTATGCTCGAACAAATACTGCGCCCTCCACATGAGACTAGATAACTTGAGAGCGATTCAGTATATATTGCTCGCGACTATGCAAAAAGGTAGAGATGTCTAGGCACTTTTGTCACTATTGTTTGTTTTCACCTAATGATTGACTCTATAACGGTGGACACGCAATTAAGGATGGGCGATCACATAGGTCCGAACGGCAGCGACGACGATCTCGACTACGGCGACAATATTGATCTAGACTACGGCGACCATCTTGATCTGGACGACGGCGACCATCTTGATCTAGACCATAGCGACCGTAATGACCTAAACAACGGGGGTCATGACGATCTATATCATAGCGATCATAATGAACCGGACTACAGCAAGATTTGTGATGCCTTAACTAGAACTTTGGCGGTTATCAGTGAAGTTACCTCAACCTTTATCTGTAACCTCGATGAAGAGAGCTACGAGAATCTTAATGGTATTGTGAAAGAATCGATCAGAAAAATGGAAAATATCTCGCAGATGTTGGATGACCGGGCTCGACACAACGAAAGTGATGCCGAGTCATCTTAAGCACCGGGGTCCCCGATACTGAGCGGCACTGTAGCATGTCTTCTAGTGACGGTCAGCACAAGAACCGCTTCTCCTTCTGAATCCGACACAGGGTTCAGTGCGTATCTTTGGTAGAGATTGCCGAGTCGGATCGAAATCGACAAGGCCCTCGGCCTCCGTAGTCCGTCGTCGGTGGCGAACGACCTGGGAGAGGGCCCATCCCAGGAACCGAATGACATTACGGAGAGCTCCTTGGGAAAGCACCCACGAAGCCCCTTCAGCGACGAGAATGGATAGCCTGAACCCAAACGGAGAGAATTGCTAACCACTTTTTAGGCGACACTAAACGGCACTGTAGAAAGTCTCTCAGTGACGGTTAGCATAGGAACTACTTCTCCACCTCAAACCAGCGCAAGGTCCGGTGCACCCCAGCTTCCGGTCCAGTCCCAAGTAATCTATCTATGCAATGCCATTAAGGACAAACTCAGCTTGCTACATCTTTCGTACATGCGCGTCAAGGATCACCGCGTGAAAGAGTTCTTCCAAAAACTGGCTAACGAGTATAGCCCACTGAAGGCCCTATTCAGCCTATCCTTAGACAAGTGGACAGAGACTTAGCTTTTGTACCATATCTGGCAATGCACGTGCGCCATCTTAATCTTTCGTGAGTTCGAAGATCCGAAAAGGCCCCTTGTCGAGGTTGACCCGGACTGGGAGGGAAGCCGATCCAAGGCCGAGGTTCGATTAACGCGCTTCTGTGAAACCTACAGAGTGGCACATCCTCAAGTACTGTTGTTGGCGACGAGATTAGGCGCCAAATTGGAGTTCATGACGCAATGCGAAGACGAGAAGCTCGGCAGCCTAATGTATCTCCTGCCTAGCAAGTTATATTGCATTAGGAGAGCCAGCAAGGCCACCATCACGGAGGTAGTTCGGTGCTGCTCAAAAAATGGGGAACTTATGAATTTAGTGACAGAGTTGAATCCTCTCGTGGAAAAGGTGAAAGACTTCGTTAACCCATTCGCTCGAGAAAGCAAGTTCCCTACGGCGTTTAATGATCGCCCGGTTGTTGAAGTTAATCCCGCGTCAGGCGACTCGCAAATTTAGGATGAACAATCTTGAACCAAAGTTTGCGAGATGTTCGCTAAGTATTCGTGTCGGTCTTTGTTTGGGTTTCAATTAAATGCGGTGCGGCTATTAAGAGTTGGTCCGACAATACTTACTTGGTTAAGATACTTTAAAAGAAGGACGAGTTATATTTTCACGGGACTAGAATGTGTATAGTATTGTACTGTAATTATTATAGAGTCATGGAAACGCTCGAGATCTACATAGTACTAAATCCTTCTGATCGACGTGATAAGCGATCACGGTCCGCGCGATCCCTCATCACTAAGGCACGAGCTTCACCTTACCGCTATATGTTTACACTTGGGTTTTCGAGATTTAAGTAAGACACGCAAAAGATATCCCAGGTAAAACGGATCTCGGGTGGGTCCGAGGAGAGATACCTTTGGCTGCCGATTCATTAACCATGGGGTAAACCTTTAAGCCATGTCCAGTGGATTAAGGCCTAAGACTTTAGGCTATCACCGTAGCGACGGTGGGACTCTGGCCAAGGTCGTCCTATATCTAATATTAGTCACGTCCGTGAGATTGGCTCCCTAGTAAAATCATAGACACTTTCATTAGGGACACGAACGCCATCCGCGTCCTCTCCAAGCCACGTTATATGAATGGATGCCTGGAAGAGTGGACTGTTGAGTTGCACCGAGCGAGGTGATACATCATGAACTGAGTAGATCGTGTCCTATATCATCCCCAACGGAGCAGTGTTCAATTCTCTCGAATACACCCCTACCACGCATATCTACCAGCGGATTGGGTAGGTCGGAGGTCGACAGGTCCTCAGACCGCCGCTCGACACAGGAAGAATGACTTTAATGTCCACAGGAGAAGTGAATAGCCGCGATGAACTATGCACAAATGACACAACGAATTTCGCGCTTACGCAAGCCTTCCAAACGCCATCTCAGATATAAGGCCCGGAAAACGTTCTGGATCTCACGCCGCGTGATGTCCCGTGAAGGGTGGTCGACCACGGGACCTCGTTTTCGACCCGGATCATCTCGTTCCATTGACCTAGATGGCCCCGATAACCGTAGATTATGATCCGAAGCTGACCGGCCTAGCACCAGAGTCGATTTCGGACGGAACTAAATACGTCTGCAATTCCATCAGTGCTTTTTGCGGGCAACGTTCACCAGAGGATCATCGGACCGACCTTCAAACAGTGGGAACGTCGAGCTATGCACGGCCGGCCCCGAGGCTTCACACGTGACGCCGAGAATAGAGGCGATTTTCTGGACCGCCCGAATGGACGTGTGGACGATGAATACGATGGATACCCTACCTCCCTGATAGCGGGTGACCTCGACCGGGGTGTCCGAAGAAAGTATAATCGTTATTACCCGGTCTTCCACCGCGAACTCCCGCGCAAATATCGCCGGTCCCACCGCCAGTCGCGGCGCATCCGGCGAAGAGACCGGGGTGAACAAGAATAGATAGGACTAAAGATTGGCCTCCGAGACTACCTTCGCCACCTCGAGAGCCCCGACCCCATACGCCGTATTATCCAGGTATATCGTGTCTCTCGAAGAAAGCACGAAAAGTATACTATCCTCTCCTAGGAGGACGTTGGAGACGATATTAATTCGTGACTAATGTCTCTCAAAGTTAGGGTGGCCTCCGAGGGAAAGAAATGGGACGCACCTAATCTAGAGACGGAACCTCATTCATCGATGTGATCGCAGATATGATGAACTTCGTGGCTACCTAATCATACACGGGGAGAGGAGCCCTCACCTGAGTTAAATTGCCGGCTTCCGTGATATTACTATATTTCGCTAACCAGTATTTCGAGCAAAGGAAAGTTTAGAGATTTACTTTAGTCCGACAGTACGACACGAAACTAACGGCTCGTCTACGCAACATTACGGTATTTTGTGACTTCAAAACGGGTTTCAAATATGCGTTCTTGATTACGAGACCGTACAGATAGAATTCATGACGCGCCCTCTTCCCTGAAATCTTGAATAATTAAACCCTTATGGGTCTAAAGTTATACAGTACCGCTTATACACTCTCACAGTCACTATCGTGTTCATCCTACTCCTCACCACTTCCTAAAGAGTCCGAGCGTCCTTCAGGAGAATCAAGATCTTCCGAGTCCTCATAGTCGGTGTAAGTGGCGTCGCTCTGAATATCGCCATCCTCGTCGTTGTCAATGAATTCTTCGTCGCTCGTAGTTGGTTCTTCATCATTTTCTTCTTCCTCGTTCTTCTTGTCCTTGTTCTCTTCCTCTTCCTCACTTGTCCCCTGCTTGTCGTCGCCGTCCCCGTTCGTTCCTCTCCTGTCCTTAATTTTCCGAAACAATCTTTTCAGTTAGTCAACGAGGGCCTTAAGTTCTGTCCTTATATCCCCACAGCATTGGCACGAGGCCACCGGTGATCTTCCTTTCATCGACACAGTCTGGCGTGACCAGTCCCTTAGTGGCCAAAAGGAGTTCGGAAAAGGGATTTGACTTCCTCAACAATTGTCGCGGCTGTTCCGATCAGAATAGTGCTTTCCGTCCTATATGCACATTCACTCCTTGCTCATAAACTCTAAGATTGCCAGGTTAAGTAGCAGTGCGCTATAAGGTTCCATCCTTCCCTATTCTCAACCTAATTCAGAAGGTCACAGAAATTTATGGGCCGGTACGTGATAGGCGCGAATGTTTAATTTTGAGATTTTCCATCTGCTCCGCTGAGGAGTATATCGTGTCACGACATCGTTCTAAGCACTATCACCTCTCTCGGCCTCATATCGCCGGCCGTCTAAGATGTGCGAGACTCTTGTGGTTATTTATGATCTTCGTTGGTTGTGAGAATGCATGACATGGGAGAGCACGTTGCCCTTTTCGTGACCTCCCCGGATTCCTCTTTCCGTTATGATGGCTCTTATATGAGCGCGAGGGCCGCTAAGAAGCTATCACCACGTCCGATTCGACCATCGACAACCACCGTTTCTATTCCCCTCAGTTGATATATTCCGTTTTAGTGTATTATCGCTATGGAGGCCCTGGCATCCATTCTGATTGCCGTGTTTACCGAAAACCAGTCCTCCTTTCTCTTGATTGTGATCGCCGCTCTGGTGACATATTACATCAGCCGGAGCCTTATCCGCGCCGTACCCAGACTTCTCACGCGCCTTGTCACATCCTAAGTCTTCGCCTATCTCGAGAACTTAATCATTTAGCGAGATGATGAATGTCTCCTAAACCTCGACCTTAGCTATCCACCACCTGGCTCGCAACTCCCTTCCCGATATGATAGGATCACCTTATGACGTCTATTCTCGTGCTTGTACCATAAGTTAACGAACTAGAGAGACGTTGGGAAGATACGTTAGAAGTCTAAACTCTATAAGTCGGGGAATGAGCCAGCCCCGAGCAATGACACTACTCCCTCTAGAGGAACTCTACCCCTAATAGAACTCGAAGGATGTCGTCCTAAGGCAGGCACGATCCCGAAGGCTGGATTTTGTTTGGGCGGTGGAGAGTTAGCGAGGAAAAAACGACAGCGTGACAGGGTGGTTAAGAAGAATGCTACAAAAGATCCGTCTAGAATTGGTTCGCCTTTCACATTTCTGGGACACTTTTCCCTATCAGTCTTCGGGACGGGTGCGCTGGCTACGATATCCCTAGGAGCCTGGTGTTTTTGTTTCATAATCTATTACTGTATATACCGTACCTCGACTGGTTGAATCTAACTTACTCGTACTATATCGACGAATCATCATAAGTCGTCATTATTCCTCTAGTCTGTTCATCAGTAGAGTTATCGTTGGATTCTGGATCCACAAGAGCTATCTAGCGGCTCGATGAGTATGCATCCCTCGTTTCTGATGCCGTTCAAGATCATTACGGCAGAGTCAACCCGCCTCAAGGGATCCTAGCAGACTCCAGCGGACCCTAGTGCAGTTAGATTGTCGTCGGAGTCACCGTTGAAATTCTGTCTTTTCGTGGCGCGGATATGAATGGAGTATGGGTATGGAAAAGACATGACGATACTGGTGGTGTGCGGCACTCTCCAAAGATTCCGGATGCCAGAATAATACTGTAAGATGAGAAGACCCTTTCCGAGATCATTTAACAATCGTCTCAGCCTAGATTTGACGCTGTTCCGTGACTTCTCCCTGCTTGAAAGCTGGATACCGGAGCGTCATTGAGCCACCGAGTATGGGCCTCGTTAGGCTTAATCAAACACCCCGTCGAATGTCGCGCATCTTTAGGGGCAAAGAAGCATCAATGACACTCCCTGCACAGCGTCCAAGGATCGCATTATATCTGTGCACGCTTCTTTGAAAAGGACAGCACCGTAAACGGTATCTTCGAATTGACGGACAGATTCAATGGAGGACAATTGTCGTCCCCTTCTCCATCTGGCAGGAAGAGCTTAGATGTCTATAGTCTGGCTTCGGTGTTCAGCTGTATTGGTCCCTGTCTCTTATTCTTGGTCCCTGGTCTGGGTTTCTTTCTTGATACTTTCGCAGAAAGGTTTCCCCTTCGACATTTCCCCTTGGGGGACGGGGTGGATGGCGGACTTGCTTGATCATTATTCCCTTCAACCTCCCTCCTGCCTGAGACGATCTGACGAGTTTTGAATTCCTGTATGGCGGCTCGTATCGCAGGTTGTTTGAGGATCTTTTCACCCTCGAGAGCGCATATGGAGATCTCATACAAGTTCCCCCCGCTCCTACCCGAGGTAATTCTACGATATACGTACGCCATCACGCCACGGCCTTGTCGTGGAGAGAGTGAAGTAGCTTCAACAGAATCTTTAGTGGTTGGCGGCGGTGTTTCGGGAACAATTGATGTCGAGGAGGAGTCAGGAGAATTTCTGTCTTCTCCCTTTAAGGAGGGGTTGAAGGCCAAGGGAATGGATTGTCACTATCGGCCGTTAAATTTAAAGTGTTTTAAAAGGGTCTTAGTGAGTCCGGAACCAAAATGAGGACTTCCGTATTTAATCTCCTAGCGGCCATACGAATGGCTCCCGCCAGTGCTATGGGAGGAATCTTAATACAACAGCAAAAAATCGTCCGTGACTTTGTCGACCGAAGTAGGGATAAGCTTAACCCCCTCGGTGTATCCAGTATTGCAGTGAGACGAGTAATGCTCTTCGATGGAAAAGACTAGGGGCCGCGAGAATAGCAGCACCAGACTGCAAAGCTGAGGATTGTGCGTTGGTCCACACACGACCGAGTGACAAAAGGAATGAGAGAGCAAAAATTTAAAGAAGAGGGCGACGCTTCGAATTTATCCACTCGGTCTTTAGGATTGGTGATCGCTCGTGGCTGCCTAGCCTAGTCTGTTCGGTCCCTAGGGGAGAACATTAAACCATCTCACAATCTCTCATCATCACACGATTATCGTCCCGTGTCTAAGCGCCTATTAGGGGCGGTAACATCAGGGGGACAACCATGGTCCATCTTGAACGCTCGTACTTAACTTGACAATTTATGAATGTCGTCCTTTTTCTAGCACTACCGGCGTTAGGCTTATATAGCCTTCAACACCTTTAAGTCCTACTCGACCATCCCACGAACACCTTCTAAATCTATTCACTTCTTAATTTTCGAGTGACTTAGCTTGTCGCCGACGTGAAGATCGAGATCCGGATTCCGTACCAGGTCCTCGAACTCCTTGTTGACCGTCCCGGCGGACCCGCAATATTTGGACTCCCCAAACAGCAAACAAAGACAATTAGAGCAGTCGTTAGCGGTGTAGCCCCGAAATCGACAGAGCAGGATCAGTGCTTTAATGGTCTTTTCCCGGTCTTCTTGGCTCCGGGCCATTCCATAGGAAAAGGTGTTGCGGAAGCGGGTCCCGGTGTTGTCTTTCGCCTTCTTCTTTTGGCAGCTCTTCTTGTCCCATGCCTTGGCACGAGTACTATACAATGAGTAATGTGACGAAGATAGCACTCTTAAGCGGTGAGTTGAGTGATGACCTCCTGTACTACTAAAGTGCTATGTAGTAATCGATATCTATCTCACTGGTATGGTTAGACAGAAAATGATCGATGGGTGTGGATGGTGAAAGAGAAAGACGGAAGTGATGAACGTGGTTTACACGGTGGAAATGGGTTGTGAACATGTTCATAGAAAGAGAATCATCCTTTCGGAGTATACTTATATTCTTTGGAGCTTATAAAGAAACGCATTTTCGTGGAATATTAGAAAATTCTAATGTCCATTCATTTTTGCATTTATATGCAAGATGTAAGACTAAATAGCCATCGTAAAGAACGCAACAGGCATAGTTATTTAACGAACTAAACTACGCTCCCACAATTGATTAGTTTGTTTCTCGATCAGTCAGTCAGGATCGTTCACTATTAAGGGTTTGTCTTTACTACTCAATGCTAAGTCGCTCGCAATTATCCATGTCGCCGGCGAACATACTTAACTAAAGACCGGACACAGCGTTCTCACGAATAGTAGAATCAAATTATTATAACTTAAGTTTCAGAACTCTATTTGGATCTGTAAAACTTACTGAAAATGCACAAGCAAGCTTGTGGTTGGCTAAAATTTTTAAAGAGTGAAGCTTTCGGACTTTTTAAACAAAAATCTAACAGATACTCCGTGCGTATAGTCATGAAACCTCGCCTCGCACCCCGCACTCGCACGCCTTTTCTTTTGAATATTATGTAATGGTGGTACAATACTGTATTCCCGGCGATTCAAGGATCCATTTAGCTCCTTCATCGTGTTATAGCATTCACTTCACGAATAACCGAGGTCACGAAGGGAGGTCTACGTGAGAGTGTTCACCATAAAGGCTAAATATCCCGGTGACCGACGCTCACCTTTCCGGTCGACAGTACATACCACACAGTATACCCTCGAATGTATTAATGGAGATCTTCGGGCTTCTGAAGATGTCGTGAAGGGCCAAGCATTAGTTTGGACTATTTCGGGGATCAACGAAGGGGGATCTATCAGATCATTCGAGCAAACTTCTCCCGGGGCTCACATACCTCGTCCTGGATGAAATGCGACTTTCCCCGCAACCTCTAGAGGATCTTGCGAAATTGTCGTTGCGTCTCGTTGACGTTCGTTGAAGAAGAGACTTGAGTCGGGGGAGCTACGCTCAGGTTTCGGGTCAGAATCAAAGTGACCTTGTTTCTAGCGTAATATAGGGCGTGATCAGAGCGGTAACCAGGGACTAACCGAGTTTGAAATCACCCTTGCTATTCGCCCAAAAGCTAAAGGCGCTGAGACCCTTGTAAACCAAGCCGTTTGTTTTCATATAGGCCGCGATACGCGAGATCTACACACCACCGTCAAAATCAGACCTCATGACCAAATATTACTAGACAAGACATGGTGGTGTCTTGTCACCGCCAGAGCTATCTACACGGCCTACCTTAGCGTCGAATACGCGGACGTTGACCGAGAAAGTTGACGCGAGGATCTGGCTCAAGGTGACTTCCATATGGGGGTATACGGCGAAGTTGCGACCGCCAAATTCATGAATTTGTCGACATATCAGGAAGTCTGTCTCCGAAAGACGGAGATCAATAGCGTCCGATCGGAGACGCTCGGCCATGTCTTCACTGATTGGTTCGACGAGCAAGCGGACCCGACGTGTGTCGTCTCCCACCACCTGCAGTCGTCGCTTCTGACCCAATTTAATGTCGGCTATGTAAGTAAAAGTCTTCCATATGTCCGTGTGTAACGTCGGCACGGGTTGAGAGCCAGAGACTCGGTCGGGTGGTTGAGTGCCAAACTTTGGGGCAGGCGGATCGGAGGAAGAGAAAGGGACACTTCTAAGAATCAAATTTGGGTCCTTTGATGCTGTCGCGGAATCACGGTTGACCTTGGACGATTGAGGAAAATAAGTGATTGGACGCCCATATCTAGTCGCCATAGAGGTCGTGGTCGAAATGATTACCGGAGCGTCCACAGCTTGTTTGTCTCTGCTCCCATTGCAGGTTGACTTTTATAACACAGTCGAGCTATATAAACCTTTCGATCACTGAAACATTTCGAGAGCTGACTGATGCATTCATCGTGATAGAATGTGCACATTGGAACGATCATCAGACCTAAAAATAGAATCTCCCAGGAGCGTTTCTGGCCGCCGAATCTCATATTGGGGCGAAAAGTACCACATTAATTATATACTGAGGCACAATCAGAAGAAGACACTATTATTCCTCTTGAAGGTTATTGTACGGCTTCACCCGCGAGTGTCTTTGATGTGGGGGCTCTTTCAATGGACAATCCGCGTTGTTGTGTGAGTCGCCTGTTTGGGTAGTGATGGCCGAATCTGGGTGGTTGCTCGCAAACGGAGTATCTTGATTGGCGGGGATCTCCTGAGCCTCGAGAATCGAGAATCGCCGCGGTGTCAGCGACGATGCCAAATTGAGTCGGGGATTTACGCTTGCCTCGGACGTCGCTCGAACCACTACCCTCTACCTGTTTCTCGATACTTGGTCCGTCATCGGGAGAGTCCATTTGATGAGGATATTATCAGCGTCATCTGGATCTGCAAGAGGATCCCGGAATGCTCCACTCATACCTCCAAGACCTCGACGATGCGGGAGAGCACGGAGTTGGTCCGCCATCCGCACATTGAGTGGGATCACAAAGGACGTCGTCCATAAGCATCACATCCTAGGGTGTAAAATCCTTCCACTTTACAGAAACACCCATACATTGGGTCGGTGGGACGTGGCAGGGTATCGTGGAGCCCCATAACTGCCTGTTTTGATGTATACATGGCGGCCGGAACGATAAGTGTAGTCTATCTCGAACGACTCGATCAAGATTGGGAAGACTAGGCGGCCCTAAAGAAGTCGGGCGTTTCTTTGAAGACGACAGGTCGAAACGCAAGCATCGTCCCCCGCCGTCAATCACCAGGACACCCAGGCCGCTACAATTACCGACAGATATCCATTGATGGGAAGTGGTGAAGTCCCCGGGCTTGTCGTCGACGACTGGCTAGTGAGACCCGAGTCCTGGAGGCCGGACGCCTTGATTGGCCGTGAAGCCCAAATGAGCTCCGTGTATCGTGGTGAATGCCGGAACGACACAACCTCGCTGGAGCTCGACCCCCGGACAGATCACGGCTCCGCGCCCGATGGTCACGTTAGACCCGATGAGAATCTTGCTGGCAATCCACCGTGGATCACCATCCCTGCCGTCGACGTCGAGATGGAAGTCCGAGGTGAACATGGTCACGTCGGCGCCGATGCGCGTGCGCGAGCCAATGTCGACCCGGGCGGCGTCGTCGATGTTGTAGTTCTCACCGATCAACACGTCGTTGGAGATGTGGATATTATAGCCGTACGTGCATTTAAAGGGCACTTCAATCGTCGCCCTGGGGCCGAGCGAGCCTTTCACCTGGGTCGACATGTGAGACAGGTGATGACTAGGATCGAACACCGTCGCCAAGAGCCGTTGGGTTCGGGTTGTACTGGGAATTCCACGACTACTGTTATAGAACGCCAGAGCGTGGCTACACCGGTCACGGTCGCGCTGTAACCCAGTATTTAGGTGGTTGTAAGGTAACTCCGCGATCATCCGGGTGCGTTCGACATCCTCTGAAATCAAGAATTGCCCGCCGGAGGACGGGGTGGAAGCTAGGGCCGGAGGTCCTGAGTCGGGAGCTCTGACGGCCTGGATGGGTCGTTCGAGCACGTTATCGGCCCGTGTCTCGTCATCACCTTAACACATAGAGCCCCTGTCCAGACAATTCTGACCTAGTCAAAATAGTTAGCGGGGACCAGGTCGTTCCTCGACACGACGTCGGGAGAGACCGGAGGGACGTACAAGGACGTTGTTTGTCACACCTTTTCTTCCTTCTCCGGCAGTTCGAGCATTCTGTCCCTTTCCTTGTGGACTTGTCAATATCTGTAGGCCGATGATCCAGTGTCCCGTGTGGGCCATTCCCATTCCCGAGTCGCACGGCTACCGTTCTCGATCGCGGTGGCAACACTTCGATGGTGTTCAGCGGGGATGGGTGTTTGCTCGATGGCGGGTCATCGAATCTGGGAGAAAAGGACTTGGCTCGAGGGCGCTTCGCGCCTACCTGCCGTCCATGTCTCGTTCGCATCCCTGTGGCCGCCCTTAAAAAAGAATAATAATCTGTGCTACCCATGTCCGGCAATGCTAAGCGACGTAGATGTCCAGGATCGCCACGTTCATCCGTAATGAAGTGAGAGAGCTCACGAATCAACCGGCCTAAACGTTCTAATTTATACATATCTACCTGGGGCAAGGGCACTGATGTGCGATTTAGGATTGAGACACAGAAAGCTAACATGTGACGAATAGAGTTTGTAAAGACACCCTCTATCGAGGAACTAGGGTCGAAATTACAGGAAGGCCCATGCTAGTCATGTAACCCGAAAATGAAAATGAAAACAAACCCCAAAACGAAAATGAAAATGAAAATGAAAGCGAAAAAATCTTGCCTTGGTAAACTATCGTTACAGGCAGGAAAGATAGGCTCGTAATTTGGGGTTTCATCTTTTAGGTGGTTAGTATCCTTAGAACTTGAATGACTTAAATACTAGTTACCACTTACGGAGGAGAATCTAGACCTCCCAAATCAAAGGATTTCATCTTGTGCCTGGAAGAAGTTGGCACTGCTTCTCGTGACCGACTACTTGCGAATTAGCAACCATTACCAAATCCGGGTGACGATTTCTGTTCCTGACCTGTCCCCTCTATCACCTCACAATAGGCATTCGTCTAGAACCAGAAAACACGAAATACGGAGAATCAAGGTACCTCCCAAGCGTATAATTACCCAGTTCTGATTCCAGCTGATCATTTCGTTTATCTCGTTGCTCTTCCAATTCGGCTAAGTGGCGAGTAAGGCTATTCTGACAAGTCTTATATATCTCGTGAACTCTATGAACACGAAAAGGGTGAGGGATCTTCTGGGTGCACATCTGTGATGTGGAAGTCGTCGGAGAAAGGCTTGAAGTAGGTGACATCCGCGCCGCGTCACATGGGCGTAAAAGTCGACCGGCCACACGATGCCCGCATCCGAGGTACCAGTAAAACTGATAGTAACACATTTTGTTCTGATGCATGAACGGTTCCCGGTCTCGACTTGAAGGGTCTATTTATGCGACTCGGTTAAAGGTTGAAGGACGATACTTTTATGTTCTTGTTATATTTAGCTCAAACCGCGCCATTACCGTACGATGCTGTACATCACGGAATGGTCTGTTCCTCATCATGGTAAATTATTCTCCCACCTCCACGTGGTGTCCGCTGGGAACTCTCAGAGAAATAGTCTGGCTGTCTCTGAGTGCCAGGAGGAGCTCAACAAACGCGGTGACCCTCTCAGGAACGACGCGTCAACGTCCCGAAAATCGCCCTCTGCACCTCACGAAACACCCAACATACAGTACCAGTACACGGGAAGAGAATGGCCTCACTTTCATGTATACCCACGATGGAAAACGGACTTGAGTCCCCCGTTTTCTTACCCGACCGCAGTTTACGGTGTCAGAGCGTGAAGAAACGCGACGAAGAGGCGGAATTAATAAGAGGCATATAATTAACACGACATCACTGCGATCACGCACAACATAGAACATATCTTCAGACACATCCATCTCCTTCACCTCCTCCTCCATCAACGACGTGTCGACACGTCGAAAATCACCTTCCAAGCCTCCCGAAACACCTAACATATAGTACTAGTGCGCGGGAAGAGAGTGTTACCTCTTTCACGTACGCCCCTGGATGGAAGATAGACTTTGATACTCCATCTTCCTACCCGACTATAGTTTACGGTATCGGAAACTAAAGAGTACACGATGAAGAGGCGGAGTTGACGGGGAAGAGATGGTCCATCACAGAGAGAACACACTTCAGGAAGTCACCATATCGAACCATGCTATCACTATTAACACCACCCATAGCTCAGAAAATACCTTTCAGACGCATCACACACTGCCACTTCCACAGCTTGCCGATATCGTGGCACGCCATTTACGCGAAGGACGCCGTGGCGACGCGTCCGGCTGCCGATGGTGTCTCGATAGTCGAGAGCGAGCATTAACCCGAGAAGCATTAACGAGCAAGCCTCGCACACCACACGTCCTTCTCATATAGTACATCTACACTTTATGCAGCGCACTCCCAACTAGTGGCTATCGCACTAGGGGCCGGCTAGGCGCTCGGCAATTACCCCCAGCGACAGCAATCCAGCCAAGCAGAACGCGAATTGGACAAATGCCTCGGACCAAGTCCCGTCGGTCGCGTCCACGGCCCAACTACACACCGGCGCAGACGAGTGTTTATTGATAAACAGAAACATAAGAGGACCGGGAAGGGTCCGACACGTACATAGATACAGAACAGATATTATGATTATTAGTAGGGATATCCAACTCATAGTCGAACGCTGCATAGCTGCCACTTAATCGGCGGCTGAGACAGTCTATAATGTAATCAATCAATCAATCAATCAATTGATTGATTGATTGATTACGTCATAGTCTGTCCCAGCCACCTTTACAGTAGCGGCTATGCAGCGAAACGACTATAAGTACCGGCACCTCCCCCGTCGAGTTTCTGTACGACAAGCCGTTCCTATCACGAACTGCTTCTTACCTCCACTCCACGTGGTTACAGTATGCCTATACTTACAGCCTTAATGACTGTGTCCTGCGTCTATATACTTGTCCAGCCTTTCCTGGCTTTCCTTTTATTCTGCTTACTAATAAACACTTGTCTACACTAAGTGTGTTCGAATACTATGGATAGCACTACTCGAAATTACTTCAGTAGTCTCGTCCTGATCATTATCTTTGCTGCACGAATAGCAATTAAAGAGCTGCAGAGAATCTGCTTGATATCCACACACGAAGTTTTGCCTGCCCATATCTTTTATCGTTTCTCGCACCAGTTCCGGTATTTAAGTAAGATATGGCGTACCGTTTGGCGTCTATAGCTGTAGTCGCATTGATTAGTGTTGACCTTGTCGATAACGTGAAGATAGGAGTGTAAGCTGATCTTGTCGGTGCGTATTTATATTATAACTGAGCTGATTGCGCGGTGTATACCCTTATATGCGGTCAAAAGACCTTTACCTAGGCGGACTCTAAGCCTGTATAGCTCTTGTCCATGTTTAGCCGTTTCTCAGGATCGTTCTTATTCGATCCTTATATTTTGTCGAATAGTGGTCTTTATGGTTACTATTAAAATCCGAGATATATAGACCTCTACGCGGGGATCTAGGTGGTCTATCGCGCCTGTATGACTTGTAGCCTCTTTTGTCGCTCGATTAGCCGCTTCATTCTTAGGCACGCCAAGATGTGCAGGAATCCAACAGAATTAAATCTCCCACCCTTTATCTCGGAGTTGATCAAGGAGTCGTACTGCTCGCACGAGGATGTATTGATCAGAAGGGCACCTGGGATTGGCCATGGCTTGAATGGCGGCCTGATTGTCGGTAAAGATGACGTATTGGCTCGGTGTGTGTCTTTGTTTGGACATTAAGTATTATCTAGAGACCCAACTCGATGCCTCGTAACTCGGCTGCGTACATAGTCGAGGTGGTTGAGGTGCCCATGTATTCCGTTCTCTTTGCTAGGATATCTACCACGGGTATATTGAGTATGACTGCGGCCGCCCTGATATGGCTGTCGATGCCGCTGCCATTTGTGTATACGCGTAATGCCTGCGAATCCATGGAATTGTGTCGCTTAATGGCCTTCTTAGCTGACTTGTTAATGTGTGTGATTGGTGGTGTCCACCAAGGTGGGACCACGTGCTACTGGCGCTTTTCTAGGTGGTCGAGCCAAACGTGGTGTTTCTTTTCGAGGAGATTCGAAAGACGATTAAAGGTGTTTATCCCGCCGTCGTCTTCGATGAGTGCCATCTCTGCATGGAGGGGAGTGGTCCGGATGCGTATCGTCGTTTCGAGGGCTGTCTGTTCAAGTTGCTGTATCGCTAGTAGCAGGTTGGCCTCTACATTAACTGCGGCGCTCGCCGTGGTGCGGAAGGCACCAGTGATGATCTGCGCGGCCCTGCACTGAATTCTCGTGATTGCATTGAGCATGGCACTGTTAATCCTACCGCCTCGGCGACTAAGAGCGTGCCACGCGGAGCATCTGAACAGTATTTAAGGGACGATTATCGCCCTGTACACCTGTCTCAGATTGACCAGATTGGCGCCCTAAGTGGACGATGCTAGGGCTGACAGGGCCGATAGTCGTTTCGTGGCTTTGGTTTTCATTACCTCATGATGGTAGTCCCAAGTGAGTTGGGAGATCATCCGAATACCAAGGTAACGGCATGAGGGTGAAGCCTTGATAACCACTTGGGGTAAGTAAAGGGCATGAGTGGTGTTCTTCCACGGATCTCTGGTCCCGCCTCCGGTCGCGCGGGCGCGCTCGACTTCTTCACCCTCTCACGGAAAGTCGAGAATGCGCCGTCACCGTGTCGCTCCGACCCGTGCGCCCCCGCTCTCCCCTCCCTCGAAACCCCCATCTGTCGCCTCCGGATACGCGCTCCGCGCGCCGGGTTATGTCCCCCCCTAACCCTGTCCCTCCCTCACTTCCGTCCTCCGTCCCTTTCTCTCTCTCTGGGCGGTCCTCCCGCCATGCGCCCGTCCTTCAGACCGCCTCGCCATACTCGCCATACTCGCCCGGCCTTTCTTAACCGCCCTTACGCCCCATTCGATCCCTGAACCCGGACCCTTCTCCCAACCGCTGAAACCTTTACCGGTATAACTCTCTCGTAACCCCTCTCACTCCGACTCGTCCACCCTCACCGCCACTCGTTCACCAAACTGGAAACTCTTCGGACGGCCCTGTTTCTCTACTCCATCCGACCTCGTTACCAGTCCCACGACAGCCATTAACCCCTCACCCCTCCAGTATGTATATCCACTCTTTCTTCCACTGCCTCAACCCTATACCTTCCTC